CCTCATAATAGAATCTTCATAGGCTTTCAATTCATTTTATGTAACCTACCTACCAAGTAACCAATCATCCTTGCCGTAATTGTACATGGAATTCTGCCACATTCAGATATGTATTTGACAAGAAAAAACACAACTTAAAGAATTACGTGTTTACTCATGCCTTTCATGTTTGTATACAATGGGGAACCATGTATTCAATAAGTGTTGCACTCACTATAGTTGACCATGTTGAAATAAAACTTATAATCCATTAACAGTTTCCTTGCAGAAATAATCTAGATTTTCACAGATGAACAATTGGAATGTAAAATGATGCAAAAAAAAAAATTGCTTTCAAATACTTATACATGACAATATCACAGCAGAAAAACCATAATTGAACCCCATGCATTGAAATTTCTTATACATGGTTACTGTGAGCATCAGAGAAGAAGAATGATAATAAAAATTCAACCGCAAGAATAAAAATATTTGCAGAAAGACTTCTCTTAGCATGTCAGACAAGTAGGAATTAATAGGCCTTCTGTACATAAAACTGTAAGGTTTCTACCATACAGAAGCATTAGACAACCTGAAATTACCGGGCACTACCCAGGCAGGCCTACTCTAGGATCGCATGTTCATAAGTAGAAGTTAATGAGCGTAATGTACATAAACCTTAACCAAAATCATCTCAATAGATCTCGATAATGTCTTAATTAGAATTTAATGAAGTTAATGGAGTCTTGAAGAATTCTGCTATCTTCAAGTTGAAGATGCACTTGATCAAATCAAAATTAAACCATGAGATAAAATATCAGATAAGGTTTTCATCTCATGTATCATGTCACCTGATGATGTCATTAATTAGACAGTCCGTTAAATAATATCAGCACAAGTCTGTCCAAGTAATTAGATCCTGATAAAAGTATTAAAGTTAAAAGGGAAACTAATGTCCAGTGATAACATGATTTCATAATACATGACCCTTTAATTACAACTAATTGTATATCTGTCAAAATTTACACAAAATTAATAAATATTCATGAAGTCTTAATTAGGGATCCCTTTGAAGATTATGTAAATTAGTTTTGTTTATTAACATTGATTTGAAATCTATGTCTGAAATTTAAGACATGTTTTAAAGGAGATTTTTTGGATTGACGGAAGGGAATTTAGGACTATGAAATTCAAATATGAAACTTTAAATTCAGTGCAATTCTCCCACTGACAACAACAATTTTTACTCGCCCAATAATTAAAAATTTAGGATGGCCGCCCTCCGTGACAGAGATATTATCTTAGATAAAGGTGTTGGTTTTCAGGAAACCACCTTACATTTAAACCTGATAAAAACAAGATAACACTCAATCTGCTAGATTTCTATTGTCTTTATCATAGGAAATGAATTATCATTCAATTCATGTGTAAGTTGGTAGCTGGTTCTTTGAGGGTGGCCAAGCTATTAGCTTTAAGCAGAAGTCTTCGTTTAAAACTTAGGTACTGGAGCATGACACTTTTCAATCATTTTGCTAAGAGTGCTAATTTCAGTGCAGTACCTTGTAAGCGAAGTTTAAATGTGCAGTATAGTTGGTTCAATAACAAGCCAAAAATAATTCATACTCCACAGACAATTTCTAGAATAAATCTGGTGTCACTTTTGCAAATCCAAAATATAAGTTATCAATTCAAAATTACTTGTAAATCTCCTTGCAGGGGCAGAAAAAATGTAGCATCTTCCTGTGTCAAACAAATCACGATATTGAGGAAGCCATGTCAAAAAGGGAGGTAAATGATAACTAAAGATTACTCTATGATTATTTACTCTATAATGGTTCTCTATCAACATACAAACGTTTAGACCAGAAATATAAACAAACAATCCATACTCTAAGGGGTAAACATTTGAATCTGGCAACTCATCAACTTAGATTTACTTAATTCTGGCAACTCTTTTACATTGGCTCACAGACAAGGTTTAAGAACTCAACTATTTACCAAAAATCAATCATTATAGAGATATCACTTTGAAAATTTTTCTCGTAGAACATTGCATGAAAAATGAACTGCAAAAAAGATACAAATCAGTATGGCACAAAAATCCTTTTAATGTCATTCAATAAGATTTTTGTTATTGGCTACTCTTGTAGCAGGGAAAACTCCATTTCCTTTCAATGAAAATTCTACAATATACTCTGTTAATAAGGGACCAGACCTGGATGATGTACAACATTCACTTTCCTTTCTTGCTACATACTGATGCAAACATAATAGTCGGGTTAGAGATGAAGTTGTTTTGATTAAAAACCTGTAATATCCTAGTTGACATTTTGATTTTCCAAATGAGTGATTCTTTCCAATAGATAATTCAATAATTCAACGGTTTTGTTTACAGAGGTTCATTGGTTCACAATGAAACTGATGCTGTATCATAGTTTTCATATTTAGGACATCAATCAAATTGTGGGTCAAGTTGCTTGTAATTCATTGATGAACAATTCGATGTACTTCTGCTTTTCCTTTTTTTATTTGGTTTATTTTGGAAAAAAATGCACAAATCTAAGTCAACATATAGGTCCAATGCTTCTTTTCAAAAGATAATATGGGCGTCAAAAGCCTTTCAACAAAAGTGCTTGACATGGCTGTGAATAAAATTTGAATGTAGCCTATATAGTTCAGTGAAAACAATTTCTAATTCACGTACAAATAATCTTAATAAATTTCATAACTGCCTAACTACTGTATAAGAGCACAGATATAAGTTAATCTTTTCATAATTTATGGTTGCATGAATTTTTTCAATTTAAATATCGCTCAGTAAGTGAGTTTAGATCATGCAATAAGAAATGTGATATATATATTTGTTTAGGAGAGATTAAGACGATATTGAACAGGGTATTAAGAGGTTACAGGGTACTGTAATCTAAGCCTGGATTAAGTTAAGCCTACCCCCAGTAACATGATCTATTATATTCACACAAACTAACATATACCATGTTAAAATACACTTTTTACTTCAACAGTTTATCTTGTAAATATTTGCATGTCTGGAACACATTTCAAGGGTCAAAGCTGTTACTTTAAGTGAGAGACCCTGAATAACGAGTTTTTTATATTTTGGGGAATTTTTATTTGTATGTAATTATTCTTTCAGATTCCTGGGTTTACTTAGTTTGCTTTCAGATGTCAGGATTTTCTGGAAAACCATTCCATACCATTCTATGCCAGTCTAAACACAAATAGTTACCTTTTTGGTAGGCAATTTGCATCAAATTTGCGTCAAATCTTTAGACTATATCTAAAATTGCAAATTTGAAGGGAGGTGTGTTTCTGTCCACAATCAAGCACACAGACAATATCCACTGTAAAGTTGACTATAACCAGCAAATAGAGCCAACTATCCTGATAATTAGCTCAATTTAGGCATGGAATGTCTGTAACTGATATTATAATCTTAATAAATCTGGCATTCGTGTAAACACTAATTATGTCATATAAGTATGCATATATTCTGAAATAGGTTACCATGATCTCACTAAACCTGATACCCTATTCACCAAAAACTAGACTGAATTTGAAACAAGTCTTCAATACATATATCATCATGAAACTCAGATTTTGTCAAAAACGATATATAGTTACTGAATGTGATATTCTTTGGTAATTGTAGGGATTATCCCCCCTTTATTTCCTCACAATCTGAGTTTGATCGCGTCAAAACCATTTATCTACCACATAGAAACTCCTTTCAAATTTTCTTGATATTAACATCCTAAACCCCCTAAATCATACCTATCTTTCTAACTATACCAATTTAAAGCTTTACATCTAAAAAAAAAAACCCCTTAATTACGTTTTTGAAGAGTTGAATAAAAATTCATTTCACCAAAGTTTAGCAGCTAAGATACATCTTCTATGTTGAATGCATTGTAAAAATTTATTTTACTTGAAAGTTTTAAGAGAAAGGCAATTAACAACAACAAATTTTCTCATTTCATTCATAATTTTAAACATTCAAAATATTTTCATTCATTTACTTTGCATTTTGAAAGAACATTTCAACATAAAGTTTAACTCTTTCACTGCAGAACACCTGTCTTGAATCACACTCTATGAGTTCAGACATTAACAACTAGAGGGTTAAAATACTGAGAATTTCAAGATGTTAAAACTCTTTCAAATTTAACTCTCAAAATGACTTCCTTCGGTTTAAGTTTCAGTTAAAAATTTAAATTTAGTTTCTTTTTTCACTAATTAACATGTAAAAAGATATGCAACTTATCTTGATATATTGTGATATATTTGAGATTTGTGAAAAACAGGACTATAATTTCACAACAATATGTTATTTGTGGGAGGTCTTGGATGTCATAAACTATATTTATACTTAAGTCTTCCTCTGCCAATACACAATTTATTAGCCAATAGACATTTTAAAGAAATATAGCACATCTATTTACCTTGCCAGTTTCAATTGAGTCTCAAGTCTTACTGATTTTGATAAATACCCCCTCCCCCCCCCCCCCTCAAAAAAAAATAACAAACAATAGTAACAATACTGTATTAACACGTGATGAAATGGAAAAATTATTGATTTGTTGTCTGGAGCTCAGTCAAGAGACACCTGCACAAAGTTTCTTTAATTTACTTGAATGTTTAAAAATTTTGTATATTGAACAAGATTTAAAGATGGCTAAATCATCATTCTCGTGAATAGACAGAACACAAGAGCAATTTATATTGTTATGTATATAGGAAGTAAGGAACTATACTACAGATAAGGTTCCAGTAATTGGGCCATTATTGCTAAAATATGAAATTCTTTAACTGCCTCATGAAAGATAAGAAAATTTTAATTGGTCAATATTAACTGTCTTGCTAAAAACTGAACAAATGTTGGAAGCAAGGCTTTTAATTCGCAAATATCTATGAGTGATCTTGGGACCTACTTCATCACACATTCTGTAATCAAATTGGTAAATACATGATGTTTTTTGCCAAAATTTTAACAAAATTCTTACCTCCATCAAAAGCAACAATTATCAATTCATATTCTTGTTTCTTTTCACGATCCAGCATCAAATTGGCAGTTATCTCCCCTGTTTGTGAATTCATTGAAAAAATCTTCTGCTCTTCCTCTTCACTTCTGATGTCATAGATAAGTCTGCTGTTGGATCCAGAGTCGTTATCCCGAGCCGAGATTGTGAGGACAGGAACAGGAAGTTGGTTCATGTTCTCCTGAACATAGGCATAGTAGGGAGAATTTACAAAAATTGGTTCGAAATCATTTATATCTGTGACAGTTATGGTGACCTTGACAGTAGAGTTCAAGGTCAGACCAACACTGCTGTCGACAGCCATAACTGTTAATGTGTAACTCTTAACCTCTTCGAAATCTAAAGCTTTTTGAACTCTAAGAACACCACTGCTCAAGTCCATATTAAAATCATAGTTTTCATCTCCAGCTATGATCAGGTACCTCACCACTCCATTCAGACCTTCATCCCGATCTGTTGCAGAAACTTTCAGAAGACTTGTTCCAATGCTGATATTCTCTGCAACAGTTTTGGTGTAACTCTGGTCATCAAATTTTGGAGCATTGTCATTAGCATCTTCAATTTGGATAACAAGATCTAGAGTTGCGCTAAATTGAGGAGTGCCTTGATCCCTGGCCATGACTTGGATGGAGTAGTTGGATCGAGTTTCTCTGTCCAATGGTTGAGTAACTTTTACGTTTCCAGTGCTTGATTCAATGGTAAACATGCTAGATCCAGAAGAAAGACTATAGTCTATCTTACTGTTGTCACCTTCATCCTTATCATGAGCTACAATAGTGTAGACTGTGGTATATCTCTGAGAGTCTTCTCTCACAAAGATGGTGGAAGGGGTAACAAATTCTGGTGGACTGTCGTTCACATCTTTCAATGTTATTACAACCTAAAATATAAAAAGGTGAAATAGCAAGTATTCTTCTGAAAATAGCATACTGTTTGAGGATTTGAGAATAGGGTATGAAATGAATCATATTACTAATTTGTTAAATTTAAAATGAAATCATTCTATTAAGGTCTATGATGCTGATCTTTTCTATTAGCAACTGATTGACAATCAAAATCTGAACATAGAAACATTTCTATAAATAACTTTTTGTCAGAAGTGAACACATAAGACCATCTCTCTCAAATGAAAATTGATCATAAGATATTTGTAGGAATAGGATGGATTAAGTTTTAAGATTTTGAAAGAACTTACTGTGCCAGTCGAAGAAAGTCTTTGAGTCACATCAGTAGATTGATCTATAGCAAGTACCAATAGGGTATACTGTCTAATGGCTTCACGATCCAACTTAGCAGTAGTATAAATAGTACCATTAACTGGTCCAATACCAAATTGTCCTAATTCATCTCCTCCTATTAAACTGTACTGAACTTCAGCATTACGCCCTGAAATACACAATAGAAATAATTGAACAATATAAGTTACAACTGTTTTTTACTATTTAACTAGTGCTCATAATGGCTTGATTTTTATGTTCATGGTGTGGGATCATCAGTCAACTCAAGATAACTATTGTAATGTATTTCTGGAGAATTGAATAAAATAAAATATCTATGTATTGTATGTATATGAATGAATAGTATCTAAAGGTTTATGTGGTGTTTCTTTTCTCTGAGCAAGGGATTATGAATTTTAAGCAGTTATTTTATTATGAATGTTTATTTAAATGAAAGAAATATTAAAGAACCTGAATCATGTTGAGCACTATTTAAACAGTGCCAATATTTTGTTATTGTATATAAATCATATATAACTAATGATATAATCATCTTCATTTTAAAATCAATCATCAAAGTGCAGAGAAAAAAAGCTTTTAGCATGTAAAAATACAACTAGTAAGATTTGTGCATAAAGACATCATTACAGGTAACAACAAGTGCATTGATTTATGAATGTGATCAAGAGTTGCACTGAGTTATAACAGTTAAAAAAATTCTGTTAGTTTCTCGAAATCACTGGCTGAAGAAATTTGTTATAATCCTATATACTATGTGACACACTGGGTTTTTTGGACAAACATATTTTATTTTTTGCCCAAAATATGATGACAGATACATTTGAAATGACTAGCTATGATGTTCAGCGGTACAGTACATCTGTTGCATAATGTGCAGTGAACACGTCAAACTTTTCAACGGAACAAAAACTATGTTTAATTGACAATGATGCATGAATGAGCAGTTGGCATTTTATTTTTTCATTTGGTGTCAGCTATTTTGAACAATGTTAGATGCACAAAGAAGATAACAACCTATTTAGTCTACAGACATTTTTCCCACATCTTTAATATCTAGAATACAGTATACAATAATAATTGCCTGAGACATTAACATTCACATTATTCTCAAAAATTTCCAAATTCATTTTCTGTTCCTTGGAAATTTAGATTAAAAAACAAATTTACAGAAAGGACAACTTCACACCTATAAAACTTATGACAAAGACCATTATTAAAATGCTTTATCTAATGCTATGTTACAGTGATCTAATTTTAGAATTGGAATAATCAAGTCTAATGAAGAGTGAGGTATAAAAGTTGAAAGATGGTTTCAGTTTTTAGAATTTAATGAGGTAGAATTTCCCTGATTTTTATCAAGCCTTCAACAATAATTATCATAAAACCTATATAATTAAAAAATCTAAGACAAAAACACTTTAAAATAAAAAATAGATGGTTTTAATGTGCTCTAAAACTAAATAAATACAATGATAGATTTACTACCATTTGTGACTTAAAGAGACAACACAAACATAGACTGATAGAATGAAATTTACATGGCAGAAACGGAAAGGAAGTAACAAACAACAAAAGTAACAATAAACTATATTTGTACCTAAATGTACTTCATGCTATTTTCAAGGTTGAAATTTAAAATTAATGCATGAAATATTCATGTCTGTGTTTGTGTCTGCAGTGTGTTTTGAAGTTACTGACATCTGTATTATTTAGTAGCCAGACAGTTTCAACATGTATTACCTTCAAATGTATTTTTTATCTTTAAACTTTTAATACTTTCTGCCCTTTTACCTCAAAATCTTCTCTCTGCATGCTAATTTCATTATAAACAGGTTTGAATCCAAATCTGCCCAGTGTTTTGTTTACTGTTTTGTACTAATACTAGATCACCCTGGCTTAATTGATACATTAAATGATGCATTCCTATTTCATTCAAAAAGGTCGTTTGTTAACTATTGTGTTTCCTGCTTCAGTAATAATTTGAATAAACTAAGGTAAAGCTCAGGATTTTGTGTTCTGTTTTTGGTGGATTATTTCACTCATTCCAGATCTGACAACATTGTGCTTCAAATCAAGTTCGATGTGATAATGATGACAACAAGGTGTAAAAAAAAAGTAATATACAGGGAAAAAAAATCCCATAAAAACACCAATGGACCAAGTTCTGGTTGTTTGTGACCCAATTTTTTTTTTAACAATATCTGTTTCAATTAAGTATTATAAATGAGAGGGATTATAGATGTCATGTTAAAGATTTCACATTTCTGGTTTCACAGAGTTCACCTGTCACATTATTTAGATTGGATAATATTTCAATTGAATAAATGTAAATTGATAATCATAAGTATGAAACAAAAGTTGAAATCTCCTTCTCTAAAGACCTTTAAAATAAATTCCACTCCTTCAAATCTAATAAAATATTTCTCAAATAACAAAAAAATCCAATTTATATTATCTTTTCTGTGAACTTTCCAGGATGTATGCAGTACTGAAAAATCAAACAAAATGGTAGTATTTTTTTTTTAAAAGGTAATGAGATCAGCATCAAATCTGTTGACTAAAGGTGCGGGCACACGAGCAGTCTTAGTCAAAGATTTTTTTCTCCAATTCAAATCTTGAGTAAAATGTCGCATGCGCCCATGCTTCCATGACAAGATTTATAATTTCCAACAAGTCTGATAATTGTCTCCAATAGGTTTATAGTCTGCAAGACAGACCGTCATCATCCAATCAGATTCCCTTTCCTTTCAATTGCATGCTCTGCAAATGATTATCGCCAAGGTGTAAATTGAACAACTGGAGATTTTTGTCTCCTTGTGCGCCCGTGCCAGTTGTGATACTCAAGACAAGACTCTAATCGGCGACAAGTCTCTGACAAAGACCGCTTGTGCGCACGCACCTTAAGTCATGACAAAGCAAGTAAGGTTTCAAAACTAATGCAAACTATTATATTATAATCCTACTCCTACTATCCAAAAGAAAAAATAAGATGATCTTTAGTGTACTCCAGGGAGTTCTTGACCTGTTGATTCCATCAAACTTTTTTCATGAAGTGCCAAAAACTGTCAAATTATAGTTAGAAAACCCTTGCAGGAACAATTGAAAGAGATTCCATCTCACTGAATCTCAACATGTAGTGTCACTTTCTAATTTCTTTACAAATTAACCCTTAAAAGCCACTTAAAGAGCCTTTAATTAGTTCAGAGATTACTGGGAAATCAGTTGTTCACAATCTGGCCAGTGAAATTAGCTGAATCATCTTTACTTCTTCAATGATTTTAAGGAAATGTTATTATAGATTTCATTATTATCCAATTCCCCAGATAGGGTGTTGTCTGCTACCCTAAGGGTTGTTTTAAGATCTAGGACCACCAAACACCTTATGACTTCTGCTTGGGAAATAAATTGAGATTTTCAACAGAATTGTAACAAAAACCATGCAATGTCAAGATGCAGTTTTGCTATATTGATCTGCCAGATATTTATAATACAAAGACATTTTGATCTGAAAGCTATCCTGGTTACAATCTTCCTAACAATTTGAAAATTTTTCAATTCATGACTTTTAGCAATATTCACAGCTTGTGTGATCGCAAAGAAATTCATAAGGAACTCTAATGCCAACTCTTAAGTTTAAATAATGCAAAAAGCACTACATCACATTTCAAATAACATTTCAAATAAATAAATAAAATATAGAATGAAATGATCAAATAATTAGGTCAGAGTTGACACGAAATATGACATTTTTAATAAAAATACTCATCATAACATCATGTCATATCCTGTCATCAGACAGCCAATTCTGGTTGATTTCCTACACCAGTGGTCTGATATTCATGAAATCAAATTAATAATGACAATATGAAACCATATTTCCTGATCTTAAATTTCATATCTTTCTGTAAAAATTTCTTAAACAAGATGTGCACATCCCTAGATAATTCATAAATAGAGCATAGATTTCAGAGAAGACATTTAAGATATTGCCCATCTGCGAGAATCCAACAAGAACAATGGACATACAGTTGTCCACTCTTTTCATGTAAATTAAATAAAGGAAGATAAAAAGAAACAAACTGCTCTCAGTAAATATTCTTTCACAGGTTATTGTAAATATGTTAATAAAATTTCTCAAGCAACGAACGATGAAAAATAATAATTAATATCTAAAATATAGAAAAGAATGAAAAAAATATCTTTGATGGATGTCAGATTTCTTCTAACAAAAAAATATTAATTTCCGATATGAATAACTTGACATGTAGGAATAAAAGAATATAAATCAGGAAAATTTGGTGCCATAATGAATAAGACTTCATGCAACTCATTTCCCTTGACATTTATCACCAATTGATGTTACATGTATAAAAAATATACTATCGCATGCCGAAACAGCTTCTATCACAGGTTTTATTCACAAATTGCATGTTGGGATTACATTGTTTAACATGTCAATAAAATAATTCAGTTTGATATTCCTTTATGACAAACTATATTGGTTTGAAAAAAATAGCTTTATTCTTTGATTGCTATCTTTAATGTGAAAATATACCAATGTTACTTCAGTTTAACATCTTGAGCAACACAACCAAGGCAAAAACATTACAGAGAAACATTTTCAATCAAATTGTAATTTTAGATTTCTGAGCAAACAAGACTAAAAGGTAAAAGGCAACAATGTAGACAGTCAACAACAATTAGCAAATCAAGACTGGCAATTTTTCCTTTCTTCCTGAATCAAGGATAATAATCCTCTGATTTCTGAAAACAGCCATTAGGATCTTAAATACATTAATTATTCTTTCACTTAACAAGTATATTGCATTATCACAAGATAATAAAGACTATTATTGTCACAATTGTCTAGCCATCAAATTGATTTAAGAAATAAAAAATGTTAACTGTATTAATACCTGATATAAGAGACTAACATTGGTCAAGATTGACCAGTAAATAGATTAATGATAAAAGCACCAAATCAATCATTCTTAATGTGAGCTCCTTCAAATCCATGAACTACATCTAAAAAATATAGTGGAATCAAAATCAGGATATGCAAACCAATTGCAATTTGGTTAGTAATCAATTTTTAAAAGAGGCAGATGTTTATGAACTAGGCCCAAATATGGACTATATTTACTGACC